TTGTTTTTTTTAAATACAGAACTGAAAAATGAGCTACGAATTGAAATGGTCGCCACCGTTTTGCTTCATTCTGTCTGTGCGTCTCTCATTTCTCTCTTGTTTTGAATATTGAAAACAAATAACTATAAAGTCATTTCGCGAACTCTCATAAACCATGATGAATTGACAGATAACGAAGAACTCACAGAGTGAGTGAGACAGAATAATTGTGAAAAAAGAAACAACTGGTCGAGGGATAAATATATATTGTTTTTTTCATTTTGATATTTTTATCAGAAACATTTCGCGAAATGTCTCTGTGCACTGCAGCATTAATGTCATCAGATATTTATGCTATTCCCAGAATCTCCGCGGCAAAAAAGGTATACATACAATTGGCCACTTTTCGATAAAAGCGAGCCGAACCATTCTGATTTCATAAAATGCATTTCAAATAGAAATGAAATGAGAGAAAAAAAAATATCAACTAGATTTATTTCCGATCATATTGAATAATGAGAAATTGCTCTGGCAAAAAACCATTCCACGATTCGATGGTAGAAACTTTCTCGCTGACTCTCACGAAAAAAAAACACACACACATACAAAAGTAAAAACGGGAAAAGCTGAAATAAATGTGCGAAATAAATAACGTCGCATATCAAAAATGCGATCGTCAGTTGTTATTCTTTTTGCCGTGTACGCTCACAACACCGAAAAAACTAACGTTCCGTCTGGATTTTTGGTGTTGTTGTTTGTTTCTGCACTCTCACTCTGTGTGTGTGTCATGTTTGAGAGTAACGCGACCATTGCCACGTTTCGCTGAATGAGCATAACATTTCAACAACAGAACAAAACAATCAGCGAACATCACAAACACACAAAACAACGTGAGCAAGCACATAAATTGTATTTCTTTTTTTTTCTTCTGTTGTAACAAACAACTGAAATTGTTGCTGTTTAACTGAATTAATTTAGTTCCGTTGTTAAGTTTTGTAGTGTTTTGTTTATATCTCATTGGGAGAGAAAGAAAAAAAATTGAAAAAAAAAACGAGAAGCGTCACCGACTCCTGATTTAAATGATGACTCGAGCTCATTGCCGACTACTGTATGTTTTGTTGGTTTTAAAAATTCCGGCATCAACTTTATTATGAGGGTTTTTCTTGTATTCGTCACGGAAAAAGTTTTGCATTCGTGGAATGCGTGCGGAATACATATATTTGCAAACCCATGCACATGTTTCAAATTTGCCAAAACGACACCGATGATATGATATTCGACTGATTTTAACGAAGGTTTTTATGAGACGGAAATCATTAACCGCGAAAAAAGAAGAAACGCTCACAAAAATTGGCAAGCAAAATCGAAACTTCAGCAGAAAATCGAACATTTTCGATGCAAAAAAAATTCTATACTCAATTCATCGAATGATTGAATGAAAATTGAAGAAGCAGCGAGAGACTATGATTTCTCGTTGCAATTTCCGTACTATCAATGTTTTTTTAGGTGTTTACGATATTGCCCTAAATAGTTTATGCATTCTGAAACGAGTTTCATGTGAATTTCACTTTATAAAAATCATTCGAGGCGTTCTTTTTTCTTCTATAATATTCATTTTTATTCCGGTTGCATCAAACCTGAACGCAATGGCTTAGTTACAAATAGTATCTACCAAACAAATAAATGAACTCTACTTCTTCTTCTTAGAAGAAGAATGGATTTTACAATTCGATTTTTTATTTTATTTTCATTTATGTTCGACTTTACTCCTCGGAATAAACACTCGCACAATAGCATACACCATTTAGTACATTTTCGACGTAAATAATTCGTTCAATGGATATTGTCTGTTTAAATCGTTTTGAGGTTCTAGAACCGTCTGAATTCCGTAGAACTGTTGGATGAAATCATGAAAAGCGATTATAAAATCGCATATTGACTGAATCATAATTGAAATAACATATGATCGTGGATCATAATAAATGATGCCAAGGGAAGCTATGGTAACTAGAAAAACAATAACAACAACAACGTTTACAGTCATAATTTGTGGCTCTTAAACCGTCGTGAATTGATGTGTTTGTGATTTCTGGAAAGTGTAACCGCCAGCTAGGGAATAAATAGAAAATTCAAATGGCAAACCGTAAAATTTCTCAATTTAATAAATTGCAGCATTAAAAATTGACTTGAGGCAATGACATGGATCAGGTTAAAATGACATGTAACAAACAACGAAATTGTGATAGATTGCAAGTGTGAAGCGCTTGTTCTAAAATCCAAACAAAAATCAACAGCACAAAAAGAAACCCGATTTCCGAGTGATACGGAACGCGCGCGTGAGAGATAAAAGTAGTTCCAGTGAAATAGTAGAGTAAGACAACGTACAACGTTTGCAAAATGTTTCAGTGTATCATACAGCAGCGTAATGGATGGATTCACGCGCCGAATCCAGAAACAAGAGATGTATTTCCAGGTAACTGCTCTGTTTGTTTGCACATCGTTCATGTTCGTTGAATAAAATATATATCTTTTTTTAATAAACTCATTAACTCGGTTATTTATAAAATGCATTCGCGTTAAATATGGATGATGCAAACGAAGATGCTACGCAATTTATTCGAATGTTGAAATGAGTTTACTTATTAAAATATATATAGTGTTATTTTTCCATTTGGATAAATCTTAAGTGATTTCGAACGCCAGCTGCAACTATTTCCATATTTCCATTAATTTTACTCAGTTGATTTGTTGAAGTATCGATAATTGAACTGATTTGACGAGGATTTTGCCTGGGCACATACTATGCACACACATCAATCATATTCTTTCATAAAAACGTCACAACGTTAAATCAATTCAATTTTATCATTCTAACTACATCGCATCATCCATAAGCACAAAATCCCAAATATTCTCTATTCTCCTATGGTTTAGCTCATAGTAAGTCCAAACTAATACAGTTTACTTCGGGTGTCAAGGCGGATCATTTTTTCTCATCGAAGATGTATCTCACATGTGGACGAATGACTCAATTGCGTTTGGTCTTGTTTTTATGTCTATGAATTGCACATGTGGCGCGTCATATGAATCATGGATTTGGAAATTGAGTGGCGGCTGAATAAGTATACAGCTCACTCAGCAAACTCTCTTTCTCTCTTCAGAAAACGATGAACTGAATAAAAAAATGTGTTTTTTTTTGCACACATCAGTTCAAATGAGCTCATCAACATTCAACTGTATAAATAGCACGTCAAATTGTCACGCCCCTATTACATTATATCCTACCGCAGCACACTTTCATAGCACTTTTCATGCAACACAACATAAAACAAAACAAAAAAAGATATGAAGAACAAAGAATCCGCTTAGAATTTTGATGATTCGCGCTTTTAATTTGGTAGTGGCGTGTGCTTGCCAAAAAAAGAAATTCAAACCATGTTTAATTGATGACGGTTTGTTTGGTGCGTTTTTTTCTTCTTCTTATATTCAATTCATTACGATACAGCGACTGAACAGCAACTCATTTTCATATAGATTTGGGCCGCGACAACTCACAACCAGAGTCTCATTCAAATTGAATTGAAACATGGCACATTATGATTTTCAACGACGACGATCAAATAACGCACATCACATATTTATGCAATTCAGAGCATATATATATATGCATGCTTTTTTTCGTATTCACTTTGAACGAAAGATAGAAACAGATAGAGAGAGAAAGACACGAATTCGATTAAAGCCTCGGGGGGCTTATATTTGACAATGATTTGAGTCAATTTGTGAGATATCATCTTTATTATTACTATTAGCTTAACTCCGTTCCACTCCCACTCAGAACAGTATGCTTCTCTTCGTTTCCTTTCGTTCAAATGGTCACAATTGTTTAGTATCATCATCAAAAATATCGATTCTAATTAGATCGTCTGTCAGTTATAGCACGAGACATACAGTTAAATTCGATTTTCCATGCATTTTATATTATGGAGAAAACGTAGTAAACGAAACTATTTTAACCCTTTGAATCATCAACGTTCGTTGCTGGAACACGTTAGCTTACAGACGGAGAGCATAGTTTGATTTTCAATATTTTTCGCATTTTTTAATATTAGATGTTCATCTCTATTGAAAATATCGAGAGGAGAGTAAGTTTTTATTCAGACATTGCTCAGCCATAAGCGCTGAATAACATACTCTCTTCTCGATATATTCAATAGATCTGATCCATTATAATGAATACCAAATTCGGTAAAACAAAAGCGAAATTTTTTTAAAAATTGCAAGCCACCTAGACTCACAAGATAAAATTTAAATGCTTTGAAATGGAAATGGGAAAGAAATATCACCTTTTATCACCTTTAATTCATCATAAAAGAATAATGGAAGAAAAAACTAACTCAAAAGAATCGTAAGAGAAGTTCTTTTGTTTGAATATGATAAAAGATACTTTGTGTGGATTATGTCGCAGACGACATCGTTAAAAACTTTCTAAGTGACAAATTGTCGTTTCTTCTTCTGATTCATCTTTTCAAATATTGACTGTGCATCCGAAGTGCAAAAACTTCATCGTCAAGCCGTATAATTTGAACTCAATTGCATTGCATTTAATTTAAAATGCCCGGGTAAAGATTCATCAACAAAGCAACTTTATTTCAATTCCAATCAACAGATATGATTTAACTCGATTTAAGCGGAATGAATATCTCGCCACGAACGAAAAAAATTTTGTCGTGTGTTTTCGTACTTGAGACTTAGTGAACGGCAAAATGTTGTCGTTAACGGTATTTATAGCTTCAAAGAGCAAAGTGATTTGCAAAAACAGACAACAAACAGCTATAATAATTGTATTCAATTTGAATGACAATGTTTGATCACGCTTGTATACTTCCAACAAGATTCTTCCGGATAAATATAGAGACAGAGATGTAGATCGCATGTGCGAGATAAATTCATTAAAAATGATTTGTTTTAATTATGAATAATTAATAAGATTCGGTTTTGTATGTGTTTTTATTTTACAGATATACGATTGCAGTTAAACGAACAGTTACGATGTCTCGACGTTCGCATGGAATCACAAGTGTCATTGATTCAAGAGCTGCAAGACTTTTTTCGGCGGCGTGGCGAAGTTGAACTCGATTATAGCAGAAGTTTGGATAAATTGGCCAAAGGCATTCAATTACGGCACAAAGAACAAAAACAAAAGTAAGCATTCAAACATTGACATATTTATTACGTAATAAAATCGATTTGAACTCAATTTTCAACTATGAAATTTTGGCACTGAAAATATGATTATGGTTTGAAATCAATAACTTTTAGATTCGGTACGAAATTCGGTGGAAAAACATAAAATATTAGATAATCATTAAAGAGCAATTTACAATTTATGATTTATGACATTTTAGGCGTGAACAATGGCCAATGTTTTCGACATATTCATGCTGGCAACTGCTTGTCAATCAGACAAAAGCATTGTCAAAAGATCATGCAACTTTGTCAGAGATATATACAACACATCTGGTGGCACGATTACAAACGGTCATTGAAGATGTGCAACGCATCTATAAAAAATGCCGTGAAATTGGCTATGAAACGCACGAAGAAATTTTACGTGTTCTACAGGAGTTGCACACAACTATGAAAACATATCATAGCTATCAAACGGAATGCAAAGCGGCTGAAGCAAAACTCCGCACCGCCGAAACGCAACGCATGAAACTACAACAAACGATACCAAAGGAAAAATTGGATCGTAGCAAAAAATATAGACTGATCGAAAAGGAAATGCTCAAGGTACGAGGCACTGTTTGTTTGAATGTTTCTTTTTTTTAATAATTTATTTTTTATTTTTCGAATAACTATAGCGCAAAGTGAAATACACCGACGCAAGACTGAAAGCTTTGAAAGCGAAAAATGAATATCAGCTCTGTTTAGAGGCATCGAATACAACCATCCATAAATATTTTGTAGAAGATCTAAGTGACTTGATTGATGTGAGTTTGCTCGAGGCATTATTTTTTGCAACTTTGGAAAAATGTTAATTTATTGTTCGGTTTTTTTTCCACATTGCAGTGTATGGATTTGGGTTTTCATTCGATGATGCAGCGTGCATTATTGGTGCATGTAACCGGTGATCAAGGACGTGGTCGTGCCATTATGCACAATGCGGATCAAATGTCGCACACAATTCATGCAATGGACAGTCGAGCCGATAAGCAAAAATTTTTGGAGCAATATCACAGCGCATTTATGATACCGAAACGCTTAGAATTTCAAGGGCAATTGAGTGAAGAGTTGGCCGTTGAGCCAGAGCTACAGAAGGCATTGCATTCAGAAATGGAACAACGGCTACAGCATCTTGGTCAACGTGTTGGCAATTTGCGTATGGAATCGGAAGAAATTTGGAAAACACTTGAAACGGCCGAAATCAATTTGCTAGAGATATTGAATACAAAAGATTATGACAGCAGTAGCCATTTTGGCGATAGCACAACACAAGCAGCCAAACCCGACAATTTGACGCAAAAACTCAAATCTGATAAACAGGAAATAGAGGAATTTTATATAACAGTAATTTCATTTATCCTCATTTACTTCATTTCTATTGTTTTTTTTTTTTTTTAATTTAATATAAATTTTCGTTTGTGTTTAGAAAATTCGCGAATATATTTTGGGAACATCACGAATTGCGCGTCTCGATGCCAAGGCAGAATTGTTACGAACTGAATTGGCAAAAGATTCGTCGCTCAATTCGAATGCAACACTTTTGGTAAAATCTCAAGTGCCGAAGCGAAAGCGTATCGGTCGCATGAACATGACCGGTCAACCGAAACTCTTTGGGGGATCCCTTGAAGAATACCTTGAGGCAACCGGCGAGGAAATACCATTGATTATGCGAAGTTGCATTCGTGTCATAAACTTATACGGTATGATGCACTTTATTTACTTTTAGACTTTATATAATGCTTTTTCTTCGTTTTTTTTTCTTCTGTAGGCCTTCATCATCAGGGTATTTTCCGAGTGTCTGGTTCTCAGGTAGAAATATCAAATTTCCGCGAAGGTTTCGAACGTGGTGAAGATCCATTGGCCGATACAACCGATGCGTCCGACATCAATTCCGTTGCAGGTGTACTCAAATTGTATTTACGTGAATTACGCGAACCTCTGTTTCCCATCATTTATTTCGATCACTTCGTTACACTTGCCCGTGAGTTATTTATATTTGTATGGAAAAGCCATTGAATATTGCTAAAATTGTTATTTCATTTCAGAACTTGAATCGAAGCATGAACTTGTGATGGGCATACGGAAATTTTTGCAGAGTTTACCACGATCAGTTGTGATTGTGATGCGATATTTATTTGCATTTTTGAATCAGTGAGTTTTTTTCCCATTCGCGAATTCTTTTATAAGAAAAAGTGTCATTATAACAAATGACTCTTGAACTGTCATTACTTACCAATTTTCGATCAAAAAATAACATTCTTTCTTATCGCTTTCAGTTTGTCAGAATACTCCGATGAGAATATGATGGATGCATATAATTTGGCAATTTGCTTTGGACCCACATTGATGCCAGCACCAGAGGAAAAAGATCAAGTCCAGTGTCAAAATCAAGTGAACGATTTGATAAAAAACATGATTGTATTCCACGAAGATCTATTTCCAAAAGATCTTGGCGGCACGATTTACGAAAAATACATTTCACAAGAGCCGTTCGATTGTGATGTCGGCGATTCGCCAACCGAACAAGTCACCGAAGATCCAGACTCAGAAGTTTATCCATCCGAAGATGGTTAGAATTTCTAATAAATTTTGATGTTTTTCATTTTAAATTTTATCGATTCTAATTGCCATTTTCAGAATCTGATACAATGGAGGCGACAGCTCAATTTGATTTCATTGCACGTTCCGACCGTGAGTTATCGCTACGTAAAGGCGATTTGGTGACGCTGCGAAAGCAAGTATCGAATGATTGGTGGCAGGGCACTGTTCGCGGCAAAGACGGTTTAATACCCGATAAATACATATCGCTCAAGATAAAGTAAGCTAATGCTTGTCAATATTTCATTTCTATCAAAAAATATAATGTCTTTCGATCTTTTAACAGAGATGAAGATCGTGATAAATCGTGTGACCATTTGAAATCCTCAAGTTCGGAGGAGTCAGTGCGGAAGCGACGACCAAGTGGAAATATTTCGATAAATAGTCAATTGTCGATATTTTCCCAAACGACAATGTCCACCGAATTAGATACGCAGCATCCATCATCACGTAATTATCATCACAATATACGACATTCAACATTCGATTATTGAATTTGAAATAAATTAATCATATTTTGTACAGAACAAGGACAGCCACAGCAACCACCGCCACTCGCATCACAGCAATCACAATCGACTGGTTCGCATCACTCGACTCATCATTCACATCCGACGACACCGCATGCGCAATCAAAACCGATCAAAATTTCGGGCAATGAATCAACAAAATCGAGTTCATCATCAACATCGGCCGAAAGCAGTGCCGATTCAACCGAACGTTTAATTCTAACGAAACAAAATACAATTGTTAAAGCGAGCGGATCTGGATCGGATGAAAATGGTGATGATTTCCATTATGAAGCGATCGTCGATCCAAATGTCACAAAACCAAAGTACGCGTATCACGATGAACCGCATTCATTTGAAAATTCCATGGAATTTCTGGAGGACTATAAAAATTTTCAATATGAGGTACTGGAAACAACTGTTTAAGCTCTGAATTTAAGCTCTTACTCGTAACGAACAAACTGAAAGTTGAAGTGAAGAAAAGAGACAGAAAAAACGGCATTTTTTTTAAAATGCAGATGCATAGAATATGTATGCCTGTGTGGTGTCACAAGATTTTTTTTCTTAACTTAAAAACAAAAAAAAACATCACAAAAAGAGAATATATTTCATGTCTTTTTCCTCGTCGAGAATGAGAAAATGTCCGTTTTCATTTTGGTATTTAGTATTGAGCTATAATGTATGTTTTAAGCATAGACTGTAATTTATTCTATATATTATATAAAATATATTTTTTTGCATTCTATTTGATAGATTCGATGACATAGCTATGTTAAATGATAATTTTAAGGTTACAGAATATTTAGTATTTGTTCTTTTTTGTCCTTTTTGTGTCGTCAGTTAGAATTGCTCATTCCGCATACATTTTGAAAACGTGTTTTCCCTTTGTTATAATAATCGATTTACCTATATTTAGAGCTATAGCTCACTATAGTGAATTAACAAAAATAAGGATATATATGGTGATTTTGTTTATAACATTTTGTGACATGCATCATAATTGATACTATAAACATGCACGCATACATTCTCTATCCATCGACCGTTGCCTAGTGACAGTAAAAATGTTTTTTTTTCTGTATTCTTTTTCTCTCTTTTGTATCTTCTCCGCTACGAGAACAAAAATAATGAGACAACCGATTAGATTTTAGAATATTTGTTTTGATGAGCCAGAGCTAATCAAAAATGTTGTTGTCACAGTGATGCTTTTATTGTAAACTTTGTTGTCACAGTGATTTTTTTTATTCTTTGAGCCTGAACAAAAAAAACTGAATTCCGCTCTCAATTTATTTAATAAGTCAAAAAATAAACAATAAAATTGTTTATTTCATTGTTTAATACGTTAGAGAATTTCTTTTTTTGATGTTCGTTTTGTTTTTGTTTCCCTTCTAATCTCATATTGATTTGTTTTTTATAGCTAAACTATAGTTGAATTTAGTGTGTGTGTCTCTCATTTTGCGGTGTTCTTTTCATTAATTTGACATTTTCTTTAATTGTTTTTTATTTTCATTTTGTTTAGCATGCCTCTCTGCCGAAATTCCAATTCGATGTTGGATTTCAATTATTTGCTTTTTTGTTTGTGCTTAATGGTTTTTATTATGTCTTTGTGCGAAGCATTTACAATATTTGTTTTTCTCTTCAATTGACATTATATTCTGTTTGCTCAATTCTGCGCCAAATGTCATATGACCGATGCAGATGAAACCAGAATCGAGAACGCTTCAGTTAATGTATTTACAAAAAAATCAATTTTCTCTTTACACTGTTTTTAAAACAAAATTTCATTACTTCACAATATTGACTTCTCCTTTTCCACACTTTTTGAGCAATAATATGACAAATTTTTATTTCGAAAAATAAAAAAATCAAATTCAGCATACTGAAAACGTAATAATTCGACATTCGTTCTGATTCAAGTAGAAGTTGATCGGTAAGATCTTCAAATGTTTCGAAAAATTTACGGTGCAAATAATTTTATTGCTTAATTCTTACAAAAACAAAAGAGAGAAGATAGCTTTGATCAAAAGAAGTTTGTATTGTTTTGTCTTTCTCCTTGTGTCACATTGAAAGGTGAGCCTTTAATCTTTTGTTTACATTGTTTCATTTTTAATTCGTTTCTTTCTAAATAATTTGCTCCTATTTTCAAATTAATGATCAATCTCGCACTAATTCACCCTTTACAAAATAGTCCGCACAATTCTTACAAATAACGTAAACGCCCACACATTTTTTTCTCTCTTTCTTTTGAAATAATTTTACACTAAAATTCCTATTCATGACAAAGACAACTCACCCTTTACTAGCATTCTAAATTTGTTTATGGCAAAACTAAATGTTACTAACCATCAATTTCAGTTATATATACTTAATGTAATTTAATTTTAAATGAATGGTGGCTAAGTAAATATTTTGTTTATTTTTTTTCCCACAGAAAAAGCGTCCCTCTGAGCCGGTCTATGCCGAACCAATAAAACCATCGGCTGTCAATTTTAAAGCAACACCAGCGGCCAGAGGTAGTGGTGGTTCAACGGATGCATCACAATCCGATGAACCGGATGCTGTTCAATTGCGTCACGGACCAAAGACAAATGAGAACGATACAATGGCAGAAACGGAGCAAGTAACCTATGAAAATACATCCATTTTGAATACGGAGAAAAGTGGAAAGGCTCGTCATTCCGACTCTAATTTGATGAATGAATATTCAAATTCGAATCGTGATAGTGAAACAGTTGCATTAGTTCAACGATCCGTAAATAATGCACAACGTAAATATCACTCGAAAAGTTTTAGTTTATCAGAGAATCGTGTGGCGGCCAATTTGAATCTATTCCAACAAAATCGTGAATTATGGGAAAAACGCACCGAAATGCAGTCAACGCATAGTTTAACTGCTCCACGTATTTTAACACGAAATCGAATTGCACCCGATCTTGTAATGGATTTACCGATTTCAAATAAGGAATGTGCTGTGAACAGTTCACGTGAATCGTTAAATTCAAGCGATGATACAGGCGTTATTGATGGTGCCAATGCAAGCGGTTCAAAAACCGTCGGGAATGATGTTGTCAATTCGAAATCGATTGAGGATATGACATCAGCCGAACGATTTGCCACACAAAGCCAATGTACATTGAAGAAAAATGAACGATTCTCAGCGGGACCGGCACACAATAATGAATGTAATGAGTCGATGCCATTGCAAAAAGAAACACAAATTGATGTAAAGGCTGGCTCGAGCACTGTCCTTGCGGCTAGAAGTGGACAACATGAAAAACCAAAAGCTGAAATAAAACCACAAGAAAGTACAGTACTCAAAGAATTCCAACGAACCAGCGATAATGGCTGTAGTGAATCATCGACACCGGCAAAAGACCAAGCAAACATAAAAACAACCAAGGATTTACAACACAAAAGTCCGATACCAAGTCGAAATACGCAAAAATTTGTAAATCAATTTGCCGACTTGAAATTAACGGGCGGATGTATGAGCAGCGGTGCAAATACAACTGCCATTAATACCGTATCCGATTCAACAAATTCACAACAACAGCCAACATCTTTGTCCTCGTTTAAGCCACAAGTAAAAGTCAAGCCGCAAATTTTGCGCAAACCGCTAGTCCTTCCACCAACCACACCCGAATTGGTGCGACGCAACCAAGAGCCATGAAATCAATTGAATAAAAAACCAACCAAGAATTGAGTTGCTATGATCACATGTGAAGTCACATGCAAAATAAAAATGAATTTTTTTGGGCCAATTCACATACACACTCACAACATATTTGACATAAAATGAACAAATTCATCAACTCACATATATATAATCCATATTTAAAAAAACAAATGAATATTTTACTATCAACAAAACGCATAAATCTAATCTTCCTTTAAACGAAACAAATTCTATCGCAATGCTGCATACATTGAACTAGAAAATGATGAGCTCAAATCTTTGTTTTTTTACACATTTTCATTATTATTGATTATTATTATTATTGCAATTTATTTATATCGTTAATTTTAAGTATTATGTTTAGTTTTGACTACCCCCCAGACAGAAAATAAATAAAACCAATATTAATTTTAAGATTGACTATGTTAAAAAATCTCACCATCGAAATCATTGGCTAATTTACATGTAAGCATTGAAACTACATATATGTCGCGAAAATTGCGAAATAAAATCAACAAAAAATTTGAAAATTCATATTCAAGTTCCTGTGTATGAGCTAAAGTAAAGAAGAAAAAAACATTTCAATTTATTTGTCTATGTTTCCGGGGGGAATTTGTGTTTCGATATTGTAAAATGTCGATTTATGAATATGTTTATATACAATTTTTTTTAATTTGATTTAGGACAAATTTTTGGCGATATTTTTTCAATTAAAATTATAAACAAAACTTAAAGCTAAAACATAAAACCGCTTCTCAAAACTTTAGAAAATGTTTTTTTTTTTTTTGTAATTGTCTGGAGAAAAACAGCCTGACCATTTTCAATGTCAGGAAATATTTTGCGATACAAAAAATAATACTCTGATATATACGTACATATTTTATATGAAAACTGGGGAAACTATTTTAATTCAATCGAATCATTGACATGAAAAACAAAAAAAAAATCATCTTCAAATTCATCGAAATTGTCTTTTCCAAAACAAATTGGCCTATCAATTGCTCAATTATTGTTTTTCACTCTTTTTCACACTTTTCCATGGTGGTGTATATGCTGTATACAAAAATTGGTAACTAAATTTTTTTAAACAGAACATGAAAAATGCTATATATTTTTTAAATTTTAAATTATACAATTGATCCGGTAATAGATTCTAAGTCTGTGAATAAAATGGAGGAAAAAAATACATAGAAATGATTTAAATTTGGTAAATACGATATAGATCCGTAGAAATAATCGCAAATGGTAACAATAATAAAATCACAATTTTAAACTAAATTAGAACGGTAATTTATAATGGGAACTATAATGTTTTTTTCCTCGCTCTGTCAACTAGTAAAGTGTTGAACGAAGAATGAAAGGTGCAAATTTAAACTTCCTTAGAAAAACAGTGTATTTGTAATGTTTTGCCAAAGAATTGCACAAAAAAACAAACACATATAATTTGTTTGGATTATGCTTGGTTAGGTCACACAAATACCCACTTAAAATCCAAAAACAAAACCACTAAATCTTTTCGAACATCGGAATGACTATGTTTTTTACGTTTACAAAATTTATATTTATCGATATTTTCCACATTGGAAGAAATAATGAAAGAGAAAAAATGCATATGAAAATTAAATCATACAGGTACCAATTAGCGAAATGTCTTTTTTTAAGAAAAGAAAATGATTTCATATCTTCAATTATACTTTGGATCAGCTTTTGAAACCCGATTTTATATCTGATATGTTCATTTGTAACATTTGATTTTTATCAAATAATAATTACCGATATTTATCAACACATAAAAAAATATAAGCCATTTTTCGACTGAAAACTATATTCCAACAAGAAACCGCGTTTTTTTGTTTCTTTTTTTTTTTTAAATCAATGAATGAAAAAAAACAACAACTATAAAAACATATGTCTATTAAATGTATAATCCAACCTAATCAAAACAACATGAATCAATAATATATATACTCTTATCCACTTAGGTTGTTTTTTTCGCCTCTAATCGTATTTGTTTTAGTCGATTTTCAATTTAAGCAAACTAAACGATCACTCACAATCTAGTCACAATTGATCGGATTCTTTGATCGTTTGCTTATTGTTTTTCATATACTACCAATGTGTATTAGTTAATTTAATATTTTTCTCACTACTTTCTTTGAATATATATGTGTCATCAATAAACAATCCAAAAAAAAACCTTACTTCTAAAAAAATCACAATTTTTGTTGATAATCTTGTAATTTATATTTTAGAATAAAAATACTGATTTAGAAAATATTGAAAAAAAACAGATCTTAGTTTCATTCATCAATGTTTGTATTGAATTATATTTTTGTATTTGTATTTATTATTGCAGAATAAAAAAATTTTAACGTTCTTACTTTCTACTAAAATAAAAAATTAGATATTCAATTGTCTATGTTGATAGTAGACATTTAAGTAAGTTTAAATTGGTTTGTAACAATTCTACTTATAAAGCAAATTTTCTTAACCCTTAAACGCTCAGGTAGGGTCTCTTAGGCCCTGAGAGTTAAATAAAAAAAAATCACAAAAAATTTGGAAAATTTCGCTGAGCATTTTTTTGTTTAATATCATATCTATGAGATACATTCAAAAATTTCAATGTTTGGTGCATATATGATGTTTTAGGAGGAAAAAAAATGAAATACTAACGTAAAAGCACAACGAATATTTCTGCGAATCAATTCATTTAAACGATCGCCTCTGTTGTCGAGCCAAGCATTCAGTGCTTCTTCCTCATTTTCTTTAAAATTCACAATGAAATTTTACCAGTAAGCGGCTGTTGAATGACTTTGATCTTCAATCATCGCTTGACCCAATCACACATGCGCGCTGGGGAGGGGGTTTCTGGTTTGACCCCCACCTGAGGCAAATTTTTCAAAATTTACCCCCGGGTAATTATTTTGGAGATTTACCGGTTTGACCCCCTCTGAGAATTTTTTCTCAGATTTGCCATATAAATGTATAAACAATAGCAAAAATACACTGATTTTGAAATCAAATTAGCAAAATTTCGGCTCGCTTCGCTCGTCAACACGCATTTATAATTATTTCTATCATGCAAAAATTGTTGTTTTAGTTTTTTTATATAAAGACCCCCGCCCCCTGCGGGGCGGGGGGGGGGGTGGGGGGGCTCCTGATCAAAAAACCGTGCGCATGTGTGGACCCATTACATTATCGAATTTTACACTTAACCATTCGGTTGATTCAGTTAAAAGCATGCTACTGGGAACTTTTAAATGATGTCTCAGTACATCGACCAAATTACTCCTGTTGCATAGTTATTAATATGTTGAATATATAACAATGTTTGATAAGCTCCTCTCCATCAAATGCTCCATTCACCAAATTGAACTGGAAATAAGGTATAAGATTATCAAAAATGACTCGTGAATAATTCAGTAATTTTCATGCGGTAGAGTAAGTTTTATCAACTACAGTGCTAATGGACACAAATGTTAAAAAGTATAAGATTGACAAAATAAAAGTGGCACCATTGCTATAAACTTGGGACAGTCAAAGTTCTATTTAATTTTGACTTATCGTGACATAAGTAGATTCCAAGAGAAATAAATTTCCCATAAAATTCAAAAAATGTTAAAAAAACAAAAGATAATATTACTCCTTGAGAGATTCTATTCGAGAAATAATGTATAAAATACGTTAATAGCTGTTTTGTGACATTCTTTCTTCGATGAAAATTTTAAAAAACAGATGAAGATGAGTAAACAATAAATGAATCGAAACAAACAAGAGTATTTGAGAAACGAAAACAACGGGAAAAAAATTTAATGAAATAATAAAGACGAGGTAAGAAGAAATCCCAAATCGATTTCATTTGATTTATAATATTTTTATTTAATAATTTTACATGGAGATCAGAGGAATGTCTATTGTTGTCTACTACTTTTTACCAAATTTTATTCCCATCATAGATTGCGACCATGTGATTCGTTGTGCATTATACTCCCCCACCTTGCTGTAAAGATCAACCAGAGCTTGCAGCAATTGATCTTCCAATCCCTTTAAATTAACAACAGTATCACGAACCGCATGCAAACCCTGTTGTTTTAGACTTTCTAATGACTTCTTCACTGCATTTGCTTGATCAATGTAATTAGATCTGAGAGTCACTGTCATCGATACTAACTCGCTCAAACTATTTACAAAACGATTATAAATCGCTGGCATTTTACTGATATCTGATTTTATTCTTTTGAGATGCTTTGCATCGATGCCTTTTTGTACGAATCTGTCCAGAGCACCCCGAAAACCTGGAATATCTTCGACTTTGGGTTCAAACATTATTTCGTTATAAATCCAATCGGCGTACTGAACAATAATTGTACGTCCATTAACGAGACGTCTAATTTCTCTGGCTACATCAAGAGGATCATACTTGCTACCCAAAACTTTTCTTAATCTTTCATCCACGTTGTCATTAGCGTTGACAATGTAATTGTACCAATCTTCGGCTGTTGAGTTGCTTGAATGACTTTCTGCCACATCCGCATGGACCATGTTGGTGAACTCTACAATTAGCCAATCTGTTGCGTCAGTTGAAAGAATGTTGGTGGGAAGTTTAAAATTAGATCTCAGCACATCGACCAAATCGCTGTCAATTCTATTGGACAAATCATATAACAATGTTTGGTAAGCAGCAGCATCTCCATCATGACTGCCAGAGACCAAATTCAACTAATTTTTTTAAAAATGATAAAGTTTGCTGAGATACTTTTATTGTTTCAATGCAAAAACCACGGAAATAAAATTTTAAATTAATTTCTTGGAATTATTACTTGATCAAACGTTGACAATGCCAAAAACGCCAAAAATAAACGTAGCTTCATTGTGTCAAAGGTGAAGTTAACTTTTATAAATCAAACAGTAACTGTTATATTAAATGTCTTCATCATGATCTTTTATATACGAAATTTTACACGTATTGGATGCAATATAATTTTCAAGTGTAAATTAAATTCCTTATTTGAGAAAATATTTTATAGCGCGTAGACCTAGGGGTTGTACATCGTTTGAAAATGAAGAACATACAGCAAATCCACGATTCTCGCTATTCTTACTATTCCGACGATTCCCAAAAATTCAATGATCTAGTTTATATTCTGTATGTACAGAGTACAGTATATACACAACGATAGCATTTAATTTAAATCTAAAACATAGAAATTCAATATTTTTTTTAATTTTGAGAAATTTAAATTGAAAACTAACACATAATATTTAAATTTCCAACGTGTTTTGTATACGTATATTAGTTCGTTGTTCGAAACTGTCAAAACACGATCAAACTCATATCTGTATTGAAAGTTTTATAAATAAACTTATAAGTCGTACAACCTACCATCACTTGCTTTCTATATCACCTGTATATTTTTTTTGAGCTTCACGTTCCGAGCGACATCTCTATGTGCTTGGCATTGAACTCGCGATCCAAACGAGCACCAAAGACAATTAAAACATTTTTTTTTTTGGTGCGAAAAAGTCAAAAATGTCAACTGATTTTGTGTGAAGAAAAACCATGTGATATGCAACGTCCTCGCAGTTAATTTCGATGACACAAACTGTGCAAAGTAATTTCAATTTATTTTCCATCACAAATTCACTAAATACAAATAATAAATCGGTTTTTGTTCAATTTACACGGTATATCTTTATCGAGCGTAAAATGACAGACGTCACAACAAATGATTCCGTATTCAAACTTCAAACAATTAACATTCTACACAAACTTTTTGTTCTAATTTTCATGAGCACATAGAGATGGCGCCATCATGCAGTTTTTTACATTATTTGCCATTGTAAGTGATGGTAGCGTACAACAGTTAAAATAATTTTAGTTCATAAATTTGATACCAATTATAAAAAAAATATTTAATTTCCAACGTTTTCAATAAATAAAAATTGCTTCATTCACACGAAGTGTTTCGCTAAAAATCAAATTCCAAGATTTCCACTAGTCCGACGAATCCGACTATTATTTACGAATCCGAAGCAAATTTTCAAAACGAATTCGTTTCAACCACTTCTATACATACACTTCATTACATTTTATTTCCATCCAACGGTTTCAATTTTTTCTTGGTTGTCAAC